GTTCTATTTCTACTTTTTTGTTCTTCAAGCCAATTCTTTTATTTTGGTCTAAAAGTCTGCTTCATAAAGGAGAAAGTGCAGTGGTCATTAACTGCGAAAAAACAGTCTTTAAGGGATTTCAATAATAATTTTGACTGAACTAATACAACTTACAAGAATACAGTATTTTTTTGGCTGCGTATAGCAGCGTAGAGAGTTTCTAAAGCAGACGTTCCTCCGACGGAGGGCAAACGCTTGAAACGTCAGAGCTCACTCCCTTTGCGCGCAGAAGCATTTGTTAACAAGTAACAAGTCAAGATGTAAAAAATTTGTGTATGCATTCGAACTTCGAATGATACGTTGATTAAACTCGTTTTATTTCAAATTATCATTTCATAGATTTATGTGAGATGATCCCAGGCCTTTGTCAGAATGGGAAATGTATGAATATTCGTGGGGGATACCGCTGTATGTGTAACGTGGGCTACAAACTAACCATGGATGCGAAGCGATGCTTAGGTAAGGGAAAGGTCGTTTTCATGTTCTATCACCGGCCTTACTTTCTGGTGAAAAGTAAAATGTGAAGTGTACAATGTGAAGTGTGAAATGTGTAGTGTGAGGTGCGAAGTGTGAAATGTAAAGTGTGAGATTCTGTAATTTTTGTATGGATCGTGACCTCTCTTCCGTGTTAGCTGTCACTATTACCACAATTACCTCATTTTAAATTTTTATACGAGTTTTGGTAACAAATTCTTTGAGTGTTCGGCTATGTCACATCGATTTAAGTGTTATCGTGTTTCAATCAACAGATATCGATGAGTGCGCTAAAGATTCCAGTATTTGTCAGTTTACTTGTGCAAACACTGATGGTTCTTACAAATGTAGCTGTCCCATTGGATATGTGCTGCGAGCCGACAAGAAAACATGTACAGGTCAGTGACACAAACCTAGCTCATGTAGATGTACCTCACCTGTCACTGTAAGGTGGTGAGTTAGAAAATTTTATCCACCTAAAATCTAAATCGTAGTTTAGAAAAAATTGTTAAACATGTTAAACGTGTTACCAAAGAAAAGAGGTTTATATCAGGTGCATGTAGAACACGGTCTGGAGATTTTAGAGTTCTAATTTTCGTCCTCTTTTCCTATCAGATGAAGACGAATGTACTACGGATCGACATAACTGTCAGCATAACTGTATCAATGTCCCCGGTAGCTTCCGCTGTGGCTGTCCTGATGGATTCATGAAAAATGGAATTACGTGTGTTGGTGAGTCAAATATGTTGAGATGTATCCTGTTCCGTTTGTGTTGTTACCCGCTCTTACCTCGCTGGTGCATAGACATCTGTCAACTAAAATAATAATAATGATGATAACAAAAAACGGGCGCGTAATGGAGGATGGGAATTTTTGTCTTAAGTCACTTAACATAGCAGAGCGTTGTGATTGCTGACGAGCAAACCATATATATGGGATCCAGTATTCAATTTTCCACCCATCACTGGACGTCTTTGTGTTTAGTTCTTCAAGTTCTCAACAATCTGTAAATAGCTACCTCTCACCAATTGGGATTTCAAGATTTATCTGTTATATTTAGAAACCCAAGGGGGTGGGGGGGGGGGGGGGGACAGAGGCATAGGGTGTGTTTAGTGCCCCGTGGTACGCAAAAACGTGAGGTTTACCTTTGGCATTTTTTTTTTTTAGACAAAGACGAATGTATGACAGATAACAACATCTGTGGATTTGGAAGGTGTGAGAACTTGCCGGGATCTTACAGATGCGTGTGTAATCGTGGTTATACATATGACGATAAGACCAAGAAATGCGTTGGTACGAAAAACAGTGATTATTACTTTGTTGAGGTTACGGTCGTCTAAGAAAACCGATTTATTTTGGATTAGGTGATTTAATGGCGAATAAAAGCGCTTTGGCTGTAGCATAAACGAGAAATGCTGCACCAGAATAAGTCCTGTGCAATATGTGAGGAATTTTGAGACCATTCCATGGCCAGTCAAAGTGTTTATCTACCGAAGTCTTATGATGCATGATAGAAGTCTCAAATTTGATCAATTTTTACTCTAATCGTCGTGAATTGACTTGGTGCTGCCGTAATTGCCCTTTCAGAAATAGTCAGCAGCTGAAAATAAGTGCCCTCGAAGTTTGAATACAAAAGTCGACATTTATGTTACTAAAATTTACCGTATTTTTTTTGTTCAGGAAATAACAGATGTACTGGAAATGCGTGTCAATATGGTTGCTTCAACCTCGGGGGTGGATATCGATGTGGATGTCCCCCCGGATTCACGCAGGATTTTTACTTCAACCAGTGTGTTGGTAAGTTTAATCATCTTTCGCCATAAAAAATGGCGATAAACCTCGTTTGCTTTTACGAAGAACAATGAAACAGATCCACAGTTATCTCTTATCATTTTTTTTTTCTTTTCCTTCTCTGCTTTCTTTGCTTCTATTTTTCGCACTGAAACGAGGACGTAATTCCTATAATACTAAAGAATCCACTATTCCCTTCACATTGTGCGACACTGCAGGCTCTTATGTCCAGTGGCGTTACTTATTTCTGAAAATATTTTTTGTCGCAGATATCAACGAGTGTCGGAGCAGACTTACTTGTGGACAGGCGCAGTGTAGGAATACATTAGGAGCGTATTACTGTACATGTCATCACGGATATGTGCTTAATCCAGATGGCCGATCGTGCCAAGGTAAGGTAAATGTTCGTCCCTAGCGCTATCATGGCATTTTAAGCTGCCATTAACTTCCTTTTTATCAGCGTTGTTGAAACGTTGTTGCTAATCAGACGGGCTGAGCAGCCGTTCCTTCTTTCATGATGGATATCCAAATGGGGAAAAATACATTACATTAGTTTTGAATAACAAATAAAGGCAGTCTTCACTCTTGGTTCATATTAGAACCAAAGCATTATTTTTATGTTGTAATTTTGAGTGCGATATCAAACCAGTCTGAAACGCACTTAAGATTGTTAACGCATCGTCCCAAGAATTTTTCGGTCCACCTATCTACATTCCTTTTCGTAAACAAATTTTGGTATTTCTGACCTAAAGTAATTTTCGTGCTCCTGACTAAATATCAAAAGAATTTGTTCGTTAAGTATATTATAGCCTCTCCTGCATGGATAATTCCTTTCTTTCTTGTTTGCTTCATCATTATTCATAAAAGTTTAAAATTAAAGATCTTTTTTCCTTTCAGATATGAACGAGTGTGCCCTGGGACTGAGCCCTTGTAGCTTTGGATGCGACAACAAGCAAGGTGGATTCAGCTGCCGCTGCCCACATAGTTATCAACCTATAGGGGGAGGGTGAGTACTCTATTCTTTATCATGTGGGGGAGGGGTATGAAAAACGTAAATGTGTCGTTTTCTGTTATGAAAAAAAAAATCAGTTCTCACCTTGTCGTGCCTTCATTTTGGAAACCTGGGAAAAACTTCAGTTTTGTTCGGGCTGCCTCAATTGTGCATTTCTTGCAAATATTGTAAAGGTTAAAACCAAATTCTTAAATCTTCCCTTCTGTTTGTTTCCAGACACTGCTTGTCGCCCTATGGAGAAGCCTGTTACGAGTGTGCGCTGTCCAAAGGGGACGACGAAGACAAAGGTGTGCCTCTTGTGGAGCGAAACCAAACCGGCAGTCAGACTCAGTCTTCCGCACCATATCATGTTGTACCAGCAAGCAGCGGAAGCTATGGACAGCACCTCCCTTATGGTAGAAACCAAGGTTATGGTCAACATCAACTAGGACAGCGTCAAATCCAATTTGGTGGTCAGGCACAAACTTACAATCAACAAAACTATGGCCAACAAAACTGGCAAGCGGCACCACCGAATAACGGCTTTCAATTTTCGTACACACCTTCAGGGAAGCAGAGGAAACGACGATCCATTGGGCATCGAATGGAAAAATTCACCTTACAAATTCCCACCAACATCAGCTCAGCTAAGCCGATCCTAACGCTAGTGCCAGTACTCGCGGAATTAAACGGAACCTTCAAATATGTCATTGTTCATGGAAACACGAGCTTGTTTAAAGTGGAACAACGCAAAGGAGTCTCGTTTCTTTTTGTTAAAACACCGTTCCATCGAAAAGGCGTCTTCCCTGTGTGGATTAAAGGTGCCATGCGCGAGAAAGTGACAAAGGAAATGGTTTCCAAGGAGACGGGGACGATGGCAACGCATGGACAAGAAACAAGAAAGAGCAATGGGAACAAACTTGGAAAAGAAAACGGAACTAAGAAACAACGACACACGCTGGGATATCACGAAGCCAAAAGGTTTTCACTTCGTCTTACCATCAAGGCCGTATAGACACATTACACTGCTTAGGCCTTTTTTAATTTTTAGTTTCTTTATTTTGTTGATAATGTGTTTTATTTTGTAAAAAGATACTGGCCATGCATTTTTTTATGTTCCAAGTTATATCTAAAGTCCATCTTGCGCTGTAAAGAGACATTTTTTGCGTGGTATAGACAACAACCGTAAAATTAAAAGCTTTGAAGAAGTATTTAAGATTATAAACTGTGGAGGTGTTATTGCATGATATCCTGTTTATTTTAAGTTACCCTCCATACGGCTGTTTCATATATGAAGGGAATTTGCATTTTCAAGATCATTATTTTGTCAACACCTGTTTGCTAAATATTTTACCCATCGAAATTGTGCGGAAAAGGTATGTGTCTGGGAATTAAAAGCTTGCGATTTCACTTCACGAACAAATTCTGATAAAAGGAAAATACTTTTTGCCTAGTTATTTTTCAGTGAATAAAACAAACGACAAATATTCCGCAATTTACTAAAATTACTAAAACGCCTCGTATTTCCATATCTTATTAAAAATACACGTCAGTCGTTGTTAACAGTGCACTGAAATGCATTCATCAAAAGAATTAACTTTGACATTAATTGCAGGTGTATGGGTAGTTTTATTAATCTATATTATCATAAGCACTTCCTACGCTTCAGAGGATTCTCAATTCATTAGCCTGTTGTATCCACGGAGACTTCCATAAGTTACATCTTTGTCTTTTTACAGATAAGGCGAAATAGTTAGAAGAATAACAAGGGCGGGTCGTTGTTGAGGCAAGTTTTGATCCAGAATCGAACCATCCAGTCGTAAGGCAAGACAACTACATCGGCAAACGACGACTTCTAAAGCATTTCTCTCGGCCGGTGTTTTTCAATCAATAGTTTTAAACCCGATCTCTTAAATGGAATACAAACAGCCCTTTAAACTTTAAGCGAATTTTTGTTCTGCATAAAATATTCTTCAGATCAGGACGTAGTAGCGGTTTAGAGTCTTTTTCAACCACAGGCCTCAAGAACAAGAAAAGATCTGTCTGACGGAATTATCAGAAAACTGTGTGGGGAACTGTTTTAATCCTCTTAGCAGTAGTAGCAGTAGCCCTCCTCAGAGAAAATGCCTACCACTGCATTCTTGGATCAGTATTCTCCCGAGGCGGACAACTCTTCAAGCTTTAACGAAATTACGGAAGAAACGACAAATTTGAATACAGCTGAACGAAACAGTAAGGCCGTGTTCTACTGTTGCTTGTTCCTTCTCGGCTCCTTAGGGAATGCAATGGTTATTTTGGTATTGAAAGGAAAGCGAAAACGAACCATTAATGATTATTTTATTTTAAACTTGGCAGTAGCAGACTTAACTTTCTTGTGGCTGTCACTTCCTTTCTATACGTACGAACTTTTTCAGCCGTTTAACAAGAATTTATTGTATTGTAAACTAATTTGGCCGATGATGTCAGTTACTTCATCAGTCAGTGTTTTCACCTTAACGTCCATGGCAGTCGAACGGTGTCGAGGAATCACAAACCCTTTGCAACCGAGAATCAAGCCGCAAGCCACGTTGATATGGATTTTCCTTATCTGGATCTTTGCCATCTTTACTTTAGTTCCGTTGATGATCGTGGCGCGGTCGGAAGGTGTGTTCTGTGCGGAAAATTGGCCGAAGAACTACTATCATCAAGCGTACACTGCTGTTTTATTCGCTCTTCAATATGGCATCCCCTTGTTTGTAATCGCCACAGCATACTTTAGAATCGCTATTTTTCTTATCAGATCTCGGTTACCGATGCTAACAACGATCAACTCTAAGGGGGAGGTTATCAGGCACAAAACGAGAAGCGAAAATGTTCAGATAATCCGGACACTGGCTGTTATTGTGATTTTGTTCATGGCCTGCATGTTTCCCAATCAAATCGCTTGGATGCTGTTTGATTTTGGCGGTGCCTCGCACAAGAAGCTGTCCGACGCATTTTGGACCTGCGCAGAGGCGTTCGTGTTTTTACACGCTTGTATAAACCCAATAGTGTACGGTTCTCTTACTCGGCAGTTTTGTCGAGGATACATCCGATTCTTCCGACACATTTTCTGCTTCTGCAAAGTGAACGTCGATTACCCAATTGGTGTTTCTCACAACCAGACAGAAGA